GAAAAGCTCCCAGGTAATTATGAAGATAACTGTGATCTTCATAATTACTCATAACCCCTCACAGTAAGGAAACATCATTGCTTTACAAATATAAGCATATGGTCAAACTACACATTTTTTCCCCTAAGGAGTTAACTATGAAGAAAAGGGAGTGAATAGGTGAATAAAAGAAAGTTAACTTCTAGTCGACATTCTTCTCCCAGGAACAAGATATCAGAAGTAAATGGTACTATCTATGAAGATTTAAGTTTGTCTCAAGTTTAGTAAGTTTGATGCCATTTTTGACAAGCAAGCTACTTAAAAACGAAATAAAGATAATCTATCCAGGATGGATCTAAACCACTACCACGAAGAACCTTCAGCACATGGCTGAGATTTGTTGTGCCATAAAACACAGTCTGCTCTATGTGATCATGAAATGTCAGGAAAATCAGTGCTATGCTAAAGCTAAAGAATTAATATTGTACTTAGCATCTGAAAGATAATTACTGCAGTGAATGAACTACATCCACAGGGTCTGAGATTTTTTAACTTCCTAAACAATCTTAAATTACACATCAACTTGAAGGGCTGAACTCAAGATTCTAAGCCAGCTTTTTCTATACAAAAAAAACAAACAAAAACAGCATCCTAAAACTACCGTTCAGAGTGTCCAAGTTTCTATTTTCTCCCAAAAGCGGTACTCAACTACACTGATCCATCGGTACCCTCCCACCTGATATCCCTACTCACTAATGGCAGGACTATCTAAGACTTCTTGAAGGCCATTGGTTTAGTCAAGGAATAAAGCAAAAGTAAATGCGTCCACAGTACCTTTAAAGCTCAACTTAGTGAGGATGGATGTTCAACAGACCATTTCCATGTGACAGTATCATTGGTAGGGGAATGGGCTAGGATATAAAGAAGGATCTAGAGTCTTGAACAACGACCAAAAAATACATAAGACATACTATTTACCACAGATGGACTCTCATGGAAAGGAAAGGAGAAGAGAAAGAAAAAGAGATATATATCAAATGCCTTGAAAGTAACTCATTTGGAAAGCTCTCTTTGAGCTGGACAACAAGTGGGATCTCAGAGCGAGGAGATGACAAGTAAAGAATTAGGCCTTGGAAGAACTGAGATCAACAGAAAGAGTGACAATTTTAAAAAACTCCTATGACTTAAGTGAAAAAGACAAAAAGAAATACAAAAGAAAACACATACTTAGGCTGAGTGCGGTGGTTCATGCCTATAATCCCAGTACTTTGGGAGGCTGAGGCGGAAGGATTGCTTGAGGCCAGGAATTCAAGACCAGCCTGGGTAACATGGCAAGACTTCATCTCTACAAAAAAATCTAAAAATTAGACAGGAATGGTGGCACTTGTAGTCCTAGCTACTAGGGAGGCTGAAGCAGGAAGATCACTTGAGCCTAGGAGTTTGAGGCCACAGTGAGCTGTGATGGCACCACTGCCCTCCAGCCTGGGTGACAGATCAAGACCTTGCCAAAAAACAAAACATTTACTCTCTCAGAAAGATACCCCTAGTCTGAAAGAGCATAATGTTCACTACCCAGAACTACTTCATGAAAATCAACCTTAAGTCTAGGTAAATCCTCCCGTGTCATGCTTCTTTCAAGCAGCCACCAGACTTTCTCCTTTTGATAGTTACGATGCAGCCTAGTCCTTCCTATAAAACTGCATAAGGTCATACGTTCTCTTTTTCTTCTGAAACATCCTTAAATTTAACATACCACACAAAATTCCCAAGATTAAAGACTCTGACAATATACAATCCCATGATATCATCTTAGGCTGCATTTAAAAGATAATTTTTTCCTTTGAATGAGCATTTTAGTTATTACCTTCTTAAGTAAAGTTAACTCAGAGGTTCATCTAGGTGAACCACCAGAAATCAGCGTCATCACCCTGAGTAAGCTGGAAGAAACCAGTTAAATGTGGCAGTTCTCATCCTGAAATGAACTATCTCTAAGTCAGGGTATTGAGTTTCTATTGATTGTATTGTCTTAGCATTCAGCTTAAACAGAACACCTCGTGACGCCATTTACGAACACTCACAGATGTCTCGTCTAACATTATGAGCCAGTGGCCTTCAATAATTTGGTACCACTTCTCTTGGACCACTTTCCCGGCCAAAATATCCAGTGACTTTGGCATTATTACTTTGGCCAACCCAGGGCCAGAGCAATCACTCTTCTCTGCTATATCTTTCAGGTAAAGTAGTAATGAAACCACTTCCTTAAGTGGTTAAGTGGTTGTCTAAATACAACTACCAATCTCTGTACTGTGCACTTACAAAGCCACTAACAGCCATGTTATCTCTTTTAAACACTTTCTACAGGAGGCAAGGTGGACATGAGCATTATCCCCATTGACCAAGGACTGACCCCAGGCTTTGAAGAGTGAAGTGGCCTAAGGTCACACATCTTTCAGTAAAAGAACAAAATCTTGAATTTTATCCAAATGATTGCCTCTTTCCATAACATCATATTAGACAACAGAGTTTGTACTGGGATTTGGGGTTTCAGGGAGTTAATGCAAGAAAGAACTGCTCAAGAAGAATCAACATAATTGTAACTTGGACACTGGGTGCATCTATGCATAAAGGGACTGAGAAGATCTGACTCTTGTCTACTTACCAGCCTTGTCTCCCTTCTTACCAGGCAACCACAAAAAATGTTCTTTGTTGCTGTCATTCAGAACTACTAGTGGTGGCCAGGCGCGATGGCTCACACCTGTAATCCCAACACTTTGGGAGGCCAAGGAGGGCGGATCACTTGAGGTCCGGAGTCTGAGACCAGCCTGGCCAACATGTTGAAACCCAATCTCTACTAAAAATACAAAATTTAGCCAGGGGTGGTGGCACAGGCCTGTATGTAATCCCAGTTACTCAAGAGGCTGAGGCAGGAGAATCACTTGAACCTGGGAGGCAGAGGTTGCAGGGACATGGTGCTCTGCACTCCAGCTTGGGTGACAGCGAGACCTCTATCTCAAAACAAAACAAAACAAAACAAAACAAAACCTACTAGTGTCATCCCAAAGGAGCCAGTCAAGTGTTTGTGCCTCAGTGCATACAATTTCCTCTGCCTGAAACATCCCCGCCCCCCCGCCTTTCCTTCTTTGAAACTTTTTCTACTTCAACTTTTTAACTGAGCTCAAATGACACCTCTTTCAGAAGCTGACCTTCTCAATGCTCCCAGAGCACTCTGGATTACCCTACATCACTGACCTGTCCTGGTTGTTATTCTCATCTGCCCCCATTCCCTAAACTACTGGGAGGAGGCTGAGGGGAAAATGGGAGAGTACAACTGATATGACTTGGCTTCTCCCGGTATCTGACACACAGATCAGGTATTCACTAAATGTTTCTGGACTAACTGAAAGAACACGCCAATGCACGGGAGAAGCCAGAACTTCAGACAACTCAAGTGGAAACCATGGCTCACCACATTCACTTTAGCTACCTGGACTCGCTGTCCAGTCTGGCTTCTGCAGAAAGCCAGGAGAACATCAGGAAAGCTCAAGTACTATCCGGGAATTAGGATCCAGGTTTTTGTGGGGTTTTTTGTTTTCTTCATTTTAGTTGGAAAACCTTTGGTTCTCTGTAAATTCAGTTATTTCACATTGCTAACATGGAAGGCAAAGTGACAGCCACAGTTCTGGAGTATTTCCCAGAGATCAGATAGCATAATGGTTATGAGTGTGAACTCTGACATCTGGGTTCAAATGTACCATTTGCCAACTGGGTAACTTTGGGTAAGTTACCCTACACTACTTCCCACCAGGACACATAAACTGGAGAGTCTCTGGCCATTCATTCATTCATACCTACCAACTGAGCATCTACTGTGAGCTTGGTGCTAGCGATATAGTGGTAACCTTGCCTTCCCATCTAAAATACACTTTCATGGAGTCAGACTGTTCCATTTCCTACACAGCACTTAGCACTATCTGCAATGATCTTGTGTGCTGGTTTTTCTGCCCTCGTCGGAAGGTAAGTTCTACTAGAGCAGAGGCCTTGTCTGTCTTGTTCATCCATCATCTACCTCCGCAGTGCTTTCCACATTACTGGATGCACATAAAAAAGAAGGAATGAGCAAGTCAGACAAGAACATTTTGCCTCGTGGTCCTGGTGAAGGTAGGAAAAAAAACAAAAACAACAACATAGAAAACATAAAGGCACAAATGACAAAGATAACGGCATCTGGGAGAAACCACGGTCATGGCTTCCCACCAACTCAGGTGTTGCTCCAGGCTCTGCCAAGAAAAAGGATCCCAGCACCCTGGCAGCCTCCCTCAGCAGCACCCAGGAGACAGCATGAGGGAGGCAGCGAAAGTAAAGTGGGTTCGATCCCATCGGAAGTCCTTAGGAGGTTCATTTGTTGGCTCAACAGGTATTTACTAGGCATCTAATGTGTGCTAGGTATACAGTAGCGAACTGACAAGAGCCTGTCCTCATGGAGTTTCCTTTCTAGTGTTGAAACAGTGATTCTGGGCATGAAAAGTGCCGCGTTGACCACGAAACTGGGTGACGGAATGGGGAACGACAGCAGGTGTGCACGGTGGACTGGCTGGTCACAGCAGGCCTCTCTGAACAGGTGACATCTCAGCTAAGCCTTGAGGTCAACACTGTCACAGAGCAGGGGAAGAACCTTCCAGGCAACGGCGGAGGCTCACACTACAGAAGACCACAAACTCGTCAGTAAGTTACAAGGCAATGTGACAAGTGCCTCGAAGGCAGGTCCCGGGAGGCTGAGGGTCGGGGAGGCGGCGCAAGCCCCGGCTCTGGCACCAGACCTCTCGGGCCGTCTCGGGTCGCGGCAGCTCCAGGCAGCTCTGCGGCGTGCCGCGAGCGCCACGGCCCAACCGGGCCCCGCCGCCCCCCGCGACTGCGCCGTCAGGGTGGGGACGAGGGCCGACGTCACCCGCCGCGCCCGACTCAGTCCCTTCAGCACTGGGGCGGGGGCCGCGGGCCAGAAGGTGGCGGCCTCCGGGGCTTACCTCGGAATTTGAGCTCGTGCTGCGGCTCGAGGCTCAGGACCTGCTCCACCTTCGCCATGTTCCTCAGCGGCGGAGCACCTTTGGCGGGGAGACCCCTGAGAGGTCACCGGGGCGGGAAGCGTTAATGCTGCGCCCGCTTTTAGTTTTACAAAAAGGCGGAGGCCAGTCGGGGCACGGGAGGGGTTGTCGACGGGGTGAGCGCGCGGAGCGGGGGGGGGTCAGTCTACGCGGTGCAGGCGCAGGGGCGGAGGGCGAGGGCGAGGCCGCGGTGCCCGGCGAGCTGACGGCACGCACGGACGCACGCACGCACGCACGCAGAGACGTACACACGCACGCACGCACGCAGCAGGCTAGCCCGCTCGGACGGCGGGAAGCTGCGCCCTGCGCAGCCGGCTCCAGGGGCGGGGACGAAAGCTGCGCGCGTGGAGCCCCTCCCGGGACAGTGCGCAGGCGCGGCAGAAGCCACAGGGGCGGGACTGCGGAGCAGCAAGGGGCGGGGCCTCGCGCAGCTCAGGAGGCGGGGTCTGTAGTCCAGCTACTATGATAGCCATGGCGAAAACTATTAAGGGACCAATGGGGGCCAGCCTCGTCTTAAGTGCTTTATTCAATAGTAGCAATTGGTAAGAATAAACTTCCACTTTTCTCTTGCTTATGTAGTGCCAGGCACTGTTAGAAACTTTGAATAATAGTAAAAGTACTTAGTATAAACATGATGTTTATGACTGAGTGATGTGCTAGGCACTGTGACATCTTGTAAATAATAATTATAAATATAATAAACTACCAATTATTGCCTTTATATGTTGTGCTACTCTGCTGAATGCTTTCAATAACAACAGCAACTACAATAAATACAAGCTGCTCTACATTAAATGTTTACTATGCAACTGGCACTGTGCTGAATTCTTTACTAATTAGATTTGTTTATGCAACAAATATTTAGAAATTTGTTCAATGATCAGAAAAGCTAACCTGATTCCAACCCTCTTACAATAGCCTAGTGAAGAGACATCTGTTGAATACGTAACCACACAAGTAAGTTAAATAATTAAAAATTGATGGGAAATCCAGATCTGCTTGACCTAAAAGTGGATGCTCTACATCAGGATTACCATTTAAATTGTATTTCATTATATTATGTATGCTGTGGAAGTAAAATAGGTGTTCTTAATAGTCTCCTATACATACCTATAGAGGTGAAACAAACATGGCAAATAGCTAACAATGGCTGACTCTACGTCACAGGCATGTAATTTTCTTGTACTGTTCCTCCCACTTTTCTGTATACTTGAAATGTGTCATGACAAAAAGATTTCTTAAAAGAATAATCTTTGTATTTTACCTGGAGCATTTAGTCCATTTACATTTATTATATTTACTAACATATCTGGAATTATTTCTACCATTTTATTTTGTTATTTCTATTTGTCCTGCCTATTTTTTTTCTTTCCTTTCTTGCTTCTCTAGGGCTTGTTTTTATTCTTGTCCTGATTTTCTTCACCTATATGCTGTATTTCTTTTTTTTTTTTTGAGACAGACTTTTGCTGTTGTTACCCAGGCTGGAGTCAAATGGCACGATCTCTGCTTACCGCAATCTCCACCTTCTGGGTTCAAGCAATTCTCCTGCCTCAGCCTCCTGAGTAGCTGGGACTACAGGCGTGCACCATCATGCCCAGCTAATTTTTGTATTTTTAGTAGAGACGGGGTTTCACCTTGTTGACCAGGATTGTCTCGATCTCTTGACCTTGTGATCCACCCGCCTTGGCCTCCCAAAGTGCTGGGATTATAGGCATGAGCCACCGTGCCCAGCCTATGCTGTATTTCTAATGTTTTAGTGGTTACTTCAAAATTTTGGACATGCGTCCTTATCTTGTGAAACTCCAATATCTTTAAATATTTTTAAAAACATCTTTACCCTGTTTCCTTAAAATATAAGAACTTTGGAGTACTTTAATCATGCTTCCCCTAAGTTATATGCCTTAGTGTAGTGTATGTTGTTTAATCTTTTTCATTGTAACCCAAGGAGACATTACTAAATTGCTTTATACAGTCAACATTAGTTTAGATTCAGCCATACAATTACCATTTTTATTCATCTTTTCTTCTTGCATCTTAGCTTTCACAAATAGGATCACTCTCCTTTTGCCTGAAGTAAATCCTTTAAATTTTACTTTTTGAAGTTTTGTTGGTGCAAACCCTCCCAGTTTCTGTTCATCTGCAAGTGCATTCATTTTTCCCTTTGTTCTTTTTATTTTTTGGGTTTTTTTTAGAGATGAGGGTCTTGCTGTGTTGCCCAGGCTGGAGTACAGTGGCATGATCATGCCTCACTGCAGCCTACATCTCCCAGGCTGAAGCAGTCCTCCCACCTCAGACTTCCGTGTAGCTGGGACTACAGGCATGCACCACCACACCTGGCTAATTTTTTTTCTTCTGTAAAGATCTCACTATGTTGCCCAGGCTGGTCTCCAACTCCTGGGCTGCAGTTATCCCCCTGCCTCAGCCTCCAAACTGCTAGGATTACAGGCATGAACCACTGCACCTGGCCTTGCCCTTGTTCTTGAAAGATGTTTTGGCTCGCTTGATGGAATGAAAGCTGTCCTCTCTCAGCACAGCGACAATGCTATTCACTGTTTGCCTGCTCCCCCTCATTGTTCCACAGGAGTCCAGTGACAATCTTAAATCGTTCCTTCATAGGTTGTTGATCTTGTCCCTCTCTTCTCATGTTCTGCAGTTTTACCATGCTGTATCTTTTTTTTTTTTTCTGAGATGGAGTCTTCTTCTGTCCCCCAGTCTGGAGTGCAGTGGCGCCATGTCAACTCACTGCAACCTCTGCCTCCCATGTTCAAGCGATTCTCCTGCCTCGGCCTCCCAAGTAGCTGGGATTACAGGCACACACCACCATGCCCGGCTAATTTTTGTGTTTTTAGTAGAGACAGGGTTTCGCCATGTTGGCCAGGCTCATCTCAAACTCCTGATCTCAGGTGATCCACCCGCCTCAGCCTCCCAATGTGCTGGGATTACAGGCATGAGTCACCACACCCGGCTCATGCTGTATCTTTTTATTTATCCTGCCTTGAATTCTTTGGGCTTTCTGATTTGATGATTTGTGTCTTTCATTATTCTTGAAAACTCTCAAACAATACCTTTTTTTCAATTTAATTTTACTTTTTTATTGTGGTAAGATACACATAACGTAAAATGTACTCTCTGTCGTTTTTAAGTATATTGGTATTAAGAACATTCCTACTGTTGTTCAACCACCACCATCATCCATCTCTAGGACTCCTTTCATCTTGCAAAACTAGAACTCTGTGCCCCTTAAACAGTAATTCCCCATGCTCCCTCTCCGAAGCCCCTGGCCACCACCATTCTGTGTTCTGCCTCTATGAATTTGACTAGTCTAGGTACTTTGTGTAAATAGAATCATACAATATTTGTCCTTTTGTGACTGGCTTATTTCACCTAGCATAAAGTCCCCAAGGTTCATCCATGTTGTATCATATGTGACAATATCTCTTTTAAGTGTTGTCCCGGATGGGTACAGTGGTTCATGCCTGTAGTCCCAGCTCTTTGGGAGGCCAAGGCAGGCAGATTGCTTGAATCCAGGGGTTCAAGACTAGCTGAGGCAACATGGGTGGGAAAGATGGAGTGAAACCTCATCTCTACAAAAAATGCAAAAAAAAAAAAAAAATCCACAGATGGTGGTGCATGCCTGTAGTCCCAGTTACTCAGGAGGCTGAGGTGGGAGGATGACTTGAGCTGGGGAGGTCAAGGCTGCAGTCAACCATGATTATACCATTGCACTCTATCCTGGGGTGACAGAGTAAGATCCTTTCTCAAAAAAAGAAAAAAAAAGCATAAATGTTGTCTCAGCCTCATTCTCTCACCCTTTACATCTTGTAGTGTGATCAGTAGTCATTCAACTAATATTTTTCAGACTATAGGTTGTTTTTTAACAGTGGCTTATAAAATCGATGTAGTAAGTGGTTACCAGTGTAGAGAAAGGAAGAGAATAGAATATATTGGAGTGTTTGTGTTATGTCATGAAACTTTTGTTTTAGTTGTATTTATTAACACACACATATTTGTGGAGTGAGTCACAAGTAAAATACACTTATTACTGTGGATTGTGAAAGAGAAAGAGAGAAGTTTCATACCCTTTTCCATGTCTCTTAGCCTCTCTGTCACATCTTAATTTGTCATCTTTATGTTCCACGTTCTGGATATTTCTTTTTTTTTTATTTTGTTAAGATGGGGTTTCACCATGTTGGTCAGGCTGGTCTCGAACTCCCGACCTCAGGTGATCCTCCCGCTTTGGCCTCCAAAATGCTTGGATTACAGGCATAAGCCACCATGCCCAGCCCATTCCGGATATTTCTTCAGAAATTTCTACCAGTCACTAATTACCTCTCAGGCTGCTGGTAAACCTTTTTCAGGAGTTTATCACTTTGGTTATTAAGTCTGTAAGTTCTGTTTTGTTTTTTCACATATCCAAGTAGTTTTACTTACAGATTGTGTTTTTTCCTTTTTTTTCCTTTGAGACAGGGTCTCCCTCTGTCACCCAGGCTGGAGTACAGTGGTGTAATACTGGCTCACTGCAGCCTCTATCTCCTGGGCTCAAGCCATCCTCCCACCTCAGCCTCCCGAGTAGCTGAGAGTACAGGCACGCACCACCACACCCAGCTAATGTTTGCATGTTTTATAGAGACCAGGTTTCACTATATTGCCCAGGCTGGTCTTGAGCTCCTGAGTTTATACAATCCACTCGCCTCGGCCTCCCAAAGTACTGAGACTAAAGGCATAAGTCATTGCTCCTGGCCACATTTATAGGTTTTTAACACTGGTTCGAAGCTCCTCTGCCCTCCCCAAGGGAATGGTGCCATGGGAGCTTTAGAGTTGGTTTCTTCTGCCAGGTCACTTTGGTAAGGGGAAGCCCATGTTCCTAAACCCATACAGAGCCGCCACACCTGTCACCATGGCCACTGTGTAAATAAGCTCACTGAGCAAGCAATAGCACAGCTATGGGAAAGGCTGACTTTCACCTGCAGAATGTGCCATCTTGTTCACTCGATTAGTAGAGTTGCTGCTGCAGTAGACGCCCTTGGGTGGGCATTCACATGAGACACCATGTCTTCACACCCATCCTGAGAGGTATCCACCACCTCCTCCCAGACCTCCTCACCAGACACCCACCTCTGCTCTCCCGATCCCTGATCATCCGCTGCTCAGGGACCCGTGCACCTCTGTGCTCTTGGTCATTTCTCAGCCACACAAAGTATACAGCCAAACACACTGCTTGGGGTTCGGCAAATGCATGAATTCCGTTTGTGTTGTAATCCTGCAGCCCACCCAATTAAAGCTTTAGTATAATTATCA